CGCCGCGCACATGCGTGTGTGCGAGCCACAAGAGACTCTCTCGTTGCCACTTCATCAACCCACTCACATGTGTGTTGGCTTATAAAGTGCTACTCCACCCTATAAGTTTTCTATGTGGGACTTTAGTTATTAGGTTTTTTATATTTACACTTGCACAATTCCAACAGGGATCTTAGACATGTCTGCTTCTTGGCGGCGCAACTCCGGCCAATAGAGAGGCCTTCGTTGCGGCGATCTGGCTCGCAATGAGGCTGGCCATCTCAAGGAACAACCATTGCTGGAATTATGTCAATGCCAGAAGCTGTTTTTGGAGATGCGAAAGAAGAGTTGACAGTGGCCGCTCATCGTACAGAAAGGAGGAGAGAGAGGGAGAAAAAATAGAGATTGTGTGATAGGGATTTAAATTAAGGTTTCCTGGATTAGCAAAAACAAAAAATTAGGGTTTCTTGACATTTTATTAGGGGTAATTTTGTCATTCAACTAAGTGTTAAATCTAAATTTACATCTTAATGGTCTATTTACTAACTATTTCTAATCTTGAGCTATTAATTTTTGTTCTCCCCCGAATCAGGCCTATTTCTCTCTTTCTCTCAAAAAAAAAAAAAAAGACAAATACCCATTAAAGTGCATGAGTCTAGATTTTTACTCATCACTCTTGATTAATATCTTTTTTAATCAAATAACTATATTAGCAAAAAGGTATTAACTAAGAATAAAGAGTAAAAATTCAGACTCATGCACTTTGAGAGTAAGTTCAACAATTTTCTCAAAAGAATAATACCAAAACCGCTCCTTCTATTTTGTCAAAAATACAAATTTCGCCTCTTTTATTATGCAAATACCTAAAAGACCACCGTGTTTATAAAACAGACTCAAAACACCCTATGAACCAAATTAAATTTTTTAAAGAATCAATATGACCTTTTCCAATCTTTATTAAATACAATTCAAAATATTATTAAACTAGAATGTCAAATAAAATCAATTTAAAAAAATAAAAGCTCCCAAAATAAATGAAGTATTTTATTGATTATTTGAGCTTTTTTTAAAATTTTGTTTAATTTTTTAGTTAAATCATATCTAAAATAACATTTAACATAAATTAGAAAGGATAATCATGCATTTTCAATAATTTAACTGATTTAGGTGTTTTGAATAAGCTTTTATAAACACAATGGGTGTTTTAGGTATTTATATAATAAAAAGTAATAAAAAGTAATAAAAAGTAATAAAAAGAGTGAAAGTGGTATTTTAACAAAATATAGGGGACATTTTAAGTATTAAAAAATTAAAATCTAAATATTTTTCCTTGTTTTGTTGTCTCAAAAAATATTTCTTGTGATATTTCTTATTATTATGAAATCTTCGGTGAAAATTATAATTTCTTTTCTCGCTAAGAAATTTAAATAAATTTAAAGTACTTTTACGTCAATATTGAATTTTGTTGTCATTTCCGTGTAAACAATTATGCGGATTAAGTATATTGTTAGTTTTAATATTTTTGTATCTTTTGATCTTGATTAGAACAAGAGTGCATCTATTCGTTCTCTCCTTCTTTTCCAATTGTGTTCATATGATTATGTACCCTTTTTTTTTTTTTTTTTTTTTTTTTAAATTCTTTTGTTTTTT